CCAGCCTTGGGTGCTATGAGGGGTCAATGTCTATGAAAGTCACTGTTAGCCAATGGTCATTTGGCCCCAGCTCTGGAGGGGTCCATAGAATCCTGTGCCCCGAGTTTGCTGCTTGCAACTGGTCAGTGTGTGGAAATCATCCCCTCATGATTGGTATAAGGAACAGCAGTCACTCTGGAAGGGCTGTCAGGTGACCTATGTCCTAAGATGACTGTGGCCATTCTCATAGATGCTGATCATTGCTGAGTAGAAACTTCTGGAATAGGAAAGGCGCCATGTTGCCCTTCAGGGGGCTCTTCAGTGTGAGCTCTGGAGAGTGGGTAGAGGCTTCTGGAGGTTCTCAAATGCTACCAAGTGTGCCTGTGGTCATAGTCACTCACAGCAAACCCAGCACCAGCTAGAAGAGCAGGAGCCAGACTTCTGCACTAGATCCCAGGAGATGTCACATAAACACACTCGAAGCCACCAGGCCCCAGTTCAAGAGGAACAGAGACTGTAACTAAGTGTCTCACAAGGAAGCATCCAGAAGGATCCCTTAAAACAAACAGAAGGCGTGGGAATCAGGCACTGGAAATGGAGGGATGCATTTCTACCCTGGTGGCTCTGCCCACCTTGTTGGGCTCCCCGCGAGCACCACCAGCAAGAGTTCTGCCGACAGTCAGCAGGAGACTGAGCCACATTAAGTTAGGACCACACAGACCCCAGCTGTGTGGGGCATGCTGGGCACTGGACCCCAGGAGAGCAACCTCCCAGCTGTGGCTAGGATTATGCATTGTCCCCATCTAAACAATTGAGAGCCAGCCCAGCCCAGAGGGCTGTGGGAAGGTACCCTGCACAGCCTGAGCTGGGCATTTGCTCTCACACCCTGGTCTGCCCCTGGTGGAAAGCCAGGAACCAGACCAACAGGAAGAAGACCACTTGATCACAACTCGGTGAAGGGAGCCCTTAGTGGTGAATCCGGGGATAGCTGGTAGGTGCTGTGAGTCCCAACACCAGCTCCACTCAGCCAGAGTTGCCCAAGTGGCTCTGCCTTCCTGCTCTGTGGGCCTAACCTCCTGTAGTCAGGAGTAGACACCCACAGTCTCAGACATCCCCTGCAGCAGGGTCTTCTTGCATTTCCTGGATGGGGAAGCTGAGTCAAGGGCCATTCCCAAGATGCCCAGGGGATCCTCCCATGAGATTTTTGAAGGTGTGATCTAAAATAAAATGTACCCTCTGAGAAGTTTCATTTTCCAAGTTGAAAGGGGTCCTGGAGACAACGGGTGACACCTATTTCTACAATGACAGGCGACGCCTGGAAACAGTCGGCTGGGCACATTCTGTGTAGTGTCTTGATGAAAAAGAAACAAAACAAAACAGAAGGTTTTAAATTAACGCACATTTAAAATTCCGATGCAGCCCACTCTGTAAAATTTAGAAATTACACCACAGATTCCACCCTCCACCCTGATATGAAGAGCATAATACGTGTGTGTGTGTATGTGTGTGTGTGTGTGTGTGTGTGTGTGCACACGCGCGCGCGCACGCGCCCATGCCACGGTGCATACGTGAGTGAACCCAGGCAAGCACTTTTATCTGTTAAGTCATCTTGTCAGCCCCTCAGAGCACAATTCTAAGAGTTTTTGTTTGGTTTGTTGGTTTTGGTTTTTCAAGACAGCATCTCTCTGTGTGTGTGTAACCCTCGCTGTCCTGGAACTCACTCTGTAGACCAGGCTGGCCTCGAACTCACAGAGATCCACCTATCTCTGCCTCCTGAGTGCTGGGATTAAAGGTATGTGCCACCATCCCGTGGTTAATTTTAAGAGTTTTAGCAAATATTTTCCCCCATTCATGATATGGAACTTTCTAGTGACCTACAATCACCTTCTTTCCCATGAGTGGTCAGCCACCCCCTCTCCCTGTGACTGCGGACTGGCCTTCCCTTCTGCCTGTCTTTCCTGAGTCTGACACTGGATTTTGAAGGAAATAATACAGTCAGCTGTGGCAGCTCAGACCTGCAATCCCAGCACATGATAAGCTGAGGCAGGAGTATTGCCTCAAAATCACAGTCAGCCTAGGCTTCCTAGTGATTTCCAGGATATCCAGGGCTACACAGAGAGATCCTGACTCAGAACAACAACAATAAATAAATAGAGGAATAAATAAATGAATAATTGAAAAAAAAAAGGACACTAAGCTGGGAGGGAGATTTTGTGGGGTAGCTTTAGGGGAGCTGAAAGGAGGTCATGGTAGATGGACCATAATTAACACAACTGTCTAGGACTGGGGCTGGAGGCCAGCACTGACATCAGGCAGCTTATAACCAGCTCCAGAGGTCTGTCACACCTCTGGCCTTTTCGGGCACCTGCATTTACCGGCACATTCTCACATACAGACACACATGCACATAATTAAAGAAAATAGCCGGGGGTTGGTGGCGCACGCCTTTAATCCCAGCACTAGGGAGGCAGAGGCAGGTGGATCTCTGTGAGTTCGAGACCAGCCTGGTCTACAAGAACTAGGTCCAGGACAGGCTCCAAAGCTACAGAGAAACCCTGTCTTGAAAAACCAAAATAAAGAAAAAAATAAAAAAAAATAGTAAGAGACTTTCAAAGGATAAAAAAAAATACTTGTTTTTTCTTTTTAATCAATAGGAAAGCCCCTAAGCCAAGCCCTTCTGGCCATCTGGGCTCGTGAAGGCTCTGAGAAAACAGCAGAGGTCCCAGGAGTCCTGCTCACTGATGCCATCACACTAACTCTGTGAAGTGTCAGCCTGACACAGGCTTAGCAACACACAGGGCACTGGAGATTCAGGAGTCCATATCTGCGACCAGAAGCTACAAAAGGCAGGCACCCCTTCCTCTCTCACCTGGAGAGTCTTAAGGTGGCAACAGCACCACCTGCTGGCAAAACAGCTCTCCCCATTCCTTTTTTTCTCCCTGGTGTACCCGCAGAAACGGGATCGTGAGGGCACACCCCCACATTCTCTGTCTCTATAAGCCTCATTTTTCTTCAGGACTCACCCCTTACTCCCAGACCATTGCTGAACTACGAAAGACCAGTTATAACCCACTCTCGTTCTGTGTGTGGACAACCCAGACTCCTGTTCTATATATGAAGAAAGGTCTGAACGCTCTATGCCCGTTCTTCCGTATCACCCACAAGGCAAGCCCAGAAGCAGGCTGATGCAACTGGCCCAGAGTTCATCAGGTGCCCCGGGAGTGACCAGCTGTGGGTCTGCCGTCGCCACAAGCCCTGAGACAGACCATCCTGCCTGTCACACATACAAGGCTCCATCTCCACCTCTCACGGAGGGGCAGCATTGTTACCTTTCAGAGTCCCTGTGTCCCTCTGATCAGAGGTGGGAGTTAAAACCCACCTCAGGAACCCTAAAGACATTTCTCTGGGCATCCATTACCAACATCGCCAACTCTTCCGGATGTCTCCGAGAAGGGAGCCGAATGGAGGGGGATACTATCAGCTATATTCCACCCTCCAGCCCAATTTGGGGGGACTCCTCAGTGAAGCCTCTGCCAACCTCCCCAGCACCCCACATTTATCGCGGACATTAAAACGAAAGCGGCAGGAGAGGGCAATTAAGATTAATAGTCTGCGCTGCCGATTGAGAATCACAAGGGGGGAAGTAATTAGATTTTACAGGAGGCACCGCTCCCTAAACCAAGCCTCACAGCATGGGAGTCCCCGGTCCAGAGACCCTTCGAGGACGTCTTTTTGTAAAGACTTTCCTGGTGACATTCTCCCAGCGCTCCGTCATTAACGCCAGCCACTGACGGCGTCTGAATGTGGCGTGTTCCTCATTGAGATTCATCAGACCTGCCATCATCCCGCCCCTGCAGACAGACCTCCCATCACCACAGAGCGAGGCCAGTACCTCTTTCCTCAAACCAGCCTCTGGGGCCCCACACCCAGGAGTTGGAAGACTGAAGGCATAATGAGAAAGGATAAGGGTTGAGCCAAAGCCCCCTGCGAGGACCCTTTCTTCCAGGCCGGGGAATTCTCTGCAGGCTGCCTCCTTTCTTTGCAAGAGTGGTTCGCGGAGGGGCCCCTATTCTCCTCCCACCTGACCGTAGCCAGCAGCATCCACCGTTGCTCCTAGCTGCCTCCCTCCTCACTGGCAGGCAGCTGTCCCCCCTCGCGCAGACTCGAGGGCCTGACCACCCACACAAGAGGGGACCCGTGGCCTGTCCTGCCTCTGCATGTTGGCCAGCCCACCCTCCTCGAAAACCGCAGCCCCAGTGACTCTCTCCTTGTGGAGACCACGCGCGAGGCAGGCAGAGGACTCGCAGAGCGCGGTTGGCAGCATAGTGGAGGCCGAAACTGGGGCTGAAGCGCCACCTAGTGAGCGCGACGCGCTCCCACGGCGTCTCCACTGTCCAAGGAAAATATCCAGGAAAAGGGAACCTAGATCTGGAGCTGGGAGAATGTGGGAGGGTCGGATCTGCGAGGATAAGCTAAGGGAGAGGACCCAAGACTCAAACTGGAGGCCAAGGAGGCAGAGCTCTAAAAGCCTGGCTGTCTCTAGTGACCGTTTCAAGCGCATCCCTCTGAGAGCCCAGGGCCGGGAGACCTCAGTAATTAATAGTGAAATTAAAACCGCCTATTCTATAATAACCACCAGGATGATACACATTGAACAATTGCTCCCCGGGGCACGGTGGCGAAGGAGAGTGGGGGCTCCTCCTTCTGCAGATCTGGTCGACTTGGGCGGGGTCACTGGGCTGGGCCTGAGAGGGTGTGTACGGGGGGGCGGAGACTTGATGCAATTAGGAGGAGAAATGCTCTGCTGCCACGGTCACCTACCCGCGGGCCTGCGGGATGAAACGTATATAAGGCTGCGTGCCCGAAGCCACAGAGCCGTCGGAGCAGCAGCGCTGCGCGCCCCGCGCCGCAAGCGCCCAGCTGCCTTGTTGGCCACGGACTCTGTGCGCCTGCCATTTGCGCTGCACCGCAGCCTCCACGCCACCTTTGTAGTCGTGCCTCACGAGCCCTTCCTTGGTGCCATGTGGAGAACGCAGAACGGGCGTGCAGTGGTCCGAGCCCTGGTCCTGGCCACTCTGTGGCTGGCCGTGGCTGGGCGTCCCCTGGTCCGGCGATCCCTGGCTCTGTCCGATGAAGAGCCACTCATTCTCTACGGTTGGGGCAAGAGCACCCGCCTTCAGCACCTGTACGCCGCTGGTCCCCACATCTCCAACTGCTTCCTGAATATCCGGAGCGACGGCTCCGTGGACTGCGAGGATGAACAAAACGAACGAAGTGAGTGTCTGCCAGCGCGTTCCCTGGGGTCCCTTGCGCCCCCAGGAGTTCGCGGGCGTGCTAACTTGGCCTTAACAAATCCCCTGGACTCCCAGACTGGGTTTGGGGAGGGGAGAAATAGTGTGGTTCCCACGTGTTGCTTGGTGCCGGCTGCAGCTTCTCCCTTCTCTTGCCTGCAGGTTTGCTAGAGTTCCGCGCGGTGGCTCTGAAGACGATTGCCATCAAGGACGTCAGCAGCGTACGGTACCTCTGCATGAGCGCGGACGGAAAGATACAGGGGCTGGTGAGTGTCCCCCACGCGGCGGAATGCTCCGGGCCGCGCTGGGTCCGTGTTGGGTCTTTTCACCCCCTGCTCGGGCCCAAAAGGAACGTCGAGGGCCAGGTATCTAGTGCTAGCGAAGCTAACGTTACTCTCCTCCCCCCTCCCTGCGGAAAGTGATGGCCCCAGGCTGTAGCGGGGGTCTGAGGAGGCCCGCAGAGCATGTCTAATCCTTCCTAAAGTTGAGCTCGGCTGGCTGCTGGGTCCCTTTCAGCTTTCGGCCCCTTTGATATTGAACAGGAAAACCCACCTCTGCCCTTTTCTTCTCCAGCCATTGCGTGTGTGGTCCTCGATATCCTTTCTCTCCCTCAAGCAAAAGAAAAAACAGAAGAAAGGAAGTGTCTTTTCAATTTCTATGTCCTTGGAACATGGTGATGTAGGACTAGGCTGCTTTAGAATGTCCCTAAAGGGCTCACCTGCTTGGGAGCTGGGGGGCTGGGGGTGGGGCGAGCTGGTCAGGTCTAGGTACTCCTGAAATCCGGGAGGCTGGAAGTGGGAAGGCTAGGGCTTTTGGGAACAAAGGCTGCGAGTTCAAAGAAGCCTCCAGCCCTCCCTCTAGCAGTACGGGAGGCAGCCGTGTGAGGTCCCTTGGCCAAGGCCTCCCAACCAGTCCTGGGCTCCTGGAAGGAGAGGGGACCAGAGGTAGTAGACGGTTCTCTGTGGGGAACGATGGCCACCGGGCTCCAAGTTTTTGTCGTTTCGCTTTTTCTTTAAGAGTCTTTAATTGTTTGTGGCTCTTCAGGTCGATTTCTCTACATGAAAAGACCACAAAGAAAGAAAAGGGAGAGCAGAGAAGAGAGGGGTCTTCGGGGAGGGAAGGCCTCTGCAAAGGAGCAGGTTACAAAGAAGTGGGTCCGGTGCCTGTCCTAAAGCTGATACTCCAGGCCCGAACAAATCTCCCATCACAGTGTTTCCTGAGATATTTGTGGTGAGGGTGCTGGGAGGGGCGTTCGACCTCCAGTCTATCTAATCTCACTGGGGTGGGAAGGCCTGTGGCAGCTTTGCCCCTCAATTCCAGTACTGCTCCGAATCCATTGGACGGACACAGTCCGTCGCAAATTCTCCCTGACTTTTTTTTTTTTTTTAAAAAAAAGAAGCCCCACAATCTATTATTCCTATATGAAGAAAGGGTGACCAGTTCTCCCAAAGAATTCTCCAAGAGAAACACATCCCGTGTTTATCTACACTGCACCTTTTTCTGGGAGCACGGCCTCTGCTGCCTGGTGGCTCTATCCCCGTGCTGTCAGCCAGGGCAGGAGCCGCGCGTTCACGGAATTAGCCTGTTATCAGAGCCTTATCTGCCATCGCTCTTCCACCTGCAGTTCAGCGACCTCAGCAGGCTTAGGAGAAACGCGACTTGTGTTTACAGAACCATCCAGGCTCCCCAAAGGGATGTGGCACCAGTTAGGGAGACTGCCACTGGTACCTGAACCCTGGGGGACTAGGAATGTTCTGGTATTGAGAATGGGGGACAAGTTTCCGGCCACCCACAGGGTCGGGGCTTGGCCCTGGGTGTGGGGGAGGGGCTGCGGATTATCAGGCAGATCCTGGCTTGCTGCCTGTGAAGGGGGGCTTCTCTACTCACAATGGTAGGAGACTCCATCACCTCAGCATTAGAAAAGCTTCCTGTGCTACAGGTCTAGACAGGAACTCCCTCTTCCCCCGGGGCCCCAGGCAAAGCCTAAAACGCCTAAAACTGGGAGCAGAGTTCTCCAAGTGGTAAATAACACCAGACTTTAATGTCACTAGTTAAAAGCCAGGGAAACTTGCACCCTGCCATTGGCTACGAGAGGATTGCCCAGCCAAGGGCTGGGATGGATAACTGGTACCTGCCAGGCATGTTGGCACGCACCTGCCAGCCCAACCCTCTGGAAGCTGAGGTAGGAGGACTGCTGTAAGGTCAAGGTTATGGAGTGAGACCCTCTCTTAAAGACGTGCCAGGACTAGGGAACAGAGCTCAGCTGGTCGAGCCCTGTTGCCTAGCTGCTCCAAGTTCTGGGTTCAACTGAATATTGCATAATCTGAGCACCTCTGCTCCCTCACTTGGGACTGGAAGGCAGGAGGATCAGGAGTTCAAGGTCAGCGTAAGTTACGTGAGACTGTTTCAAAAAGAAAATGCAGGCCTGACAAGATATTGGATGCCTTTAATCCATGTACTCCTGGAGGCAGAGGCAGGTGGATTTTTTTTTTTTTTTTTAGTTCAAGGCTAGCCTTAATGAGTTCCAGGCTAGCCAGGGCTTCATTTACTAAGATTCTGTCTCAAGAGAAAGTGCTAGGATCTAACCGATATGGAAGTAGAAAAGGACAAGATCTCCTGAGTAAGTTGGGAGCATGGAGACCTTGGGAGAGGGTTGAAGGGGAGGGGAGAGGCAGAAAGGGGAGCAGAGAAAAATGTAGAGCTCAATAAAAATCAATAAAACTAAAAGAGAGAGAGAAAGTGCTAGGGTACTTCAGGAGTGGACTATCAGGGCTAGTCTCAGGCAGCCTAGGCTAGCCTTTAACTCCTGATCTCTTATCTCTGCCTCCCAAGTTATGGGATGAGAGGTGATTTTTTTTTTCTCTGTGCTTAAAGGCAATTGCTAGAGAAGCACACTAGTGGCCATGGGGATGGGCCACCACCACAGCGCTTTTGCTCATGGTTGTCTGTCTCTTTCTCCAAAGATTCGTTACTCGGAGGAAGATTGCACCTTCAGGGAGGAACTGGACTATTTAGGCTACAACCAGTACAAATCCCCGAAGCACCGCCTCCACATCATCCTCATCAGGTCCAAATACAGGCAACAGCTCCAGGACAAAGCACCCTCCAACTTTATCCCCGTGTTTCCCCGGTCCTTTTTGGAAGCCAGGGACCAGCTGGAGTCTAAACTGTTTCCCCTGCCCCTGGATCCCGACAGCATGGATCCATTCGGGATGGTGGAAGACATGGAGGTGAAGAGCCCCAGCTTCCAGAAGTGACAGACTTCCCACAGGATGAAGAAAACCCCAATACCCCATGAATTCCCCTTTAGGAGGATGTGCTAGAAGCTGTACATATTCTAAGTGTCGTTGACCGTGTGTGGTTTTAGTGGCTAGACTTGATCGTGAACCTAAATTGACTACCTGCCCGGCTACCATCTGAGTCCCACTGACTTAGGCGGCTGCTGACCTGTGGCTAGGTGACTCCAGTTCTGTTTGAATACCTCCACTAATGGGGAACTCACTCCTATGAGACATTCTTAATTTTGAGCCAAATCTGTGTGGTTTGGACATTTTCAGCAGGGTAGCCAGAAAATGTGAAGTCTACTTAAAATTCATGTGCAGGAGGTGGGCTCAGAAGTATGTGTTGACTGGCTGGACCCTGTGGGGTCTCAACTTGCCCCCAAGTGCCTCCTGACTAGAACTGATGGGGGTCACAAACTCGGAACAAAGAGCAGCTTGGAAAACCTTGGGAGCCTTGCAGGATGATTTTTGAGATTAAGAATTCCAGCTGACCACTTAATTTCCCTTTCCCATACTTCTAGATATCAGATGGAAGTGGCCCTCAGCCAGGCTTAGGAGTGGACCCTCAGCTGAGTGGGTAGCCAAGCTGCCACCTGTGCCCCAGCAGTTTATCTGCCCAGGTCACACCCCTTCTCAGAGCTCACCTGGGCTCTCCAACCCCAGAGTACGGAGCTCATGGGCCGGCTGTGGCCACTTGTGCTCTTCCCCAGCTCCTGGCTCTTACCTCTGGTCACCAGGCATTGTGTGGATCGGTGGTGTGTCCCCTGCTGCCTGTATCAACCTGCACCCTGCATTTGCAAAAGAATAACAAGATTGGGAAGCCCTAAATTTTTCAGCAGCTGCAGGGGAGCTGTGGCGCCTCTCCACCGCACTTACTGGGCAGTGTGATATTTATAAGTAATTTATTTTGTAGACATCTCTTATTTTCTTACTTTATTTATGCCCCAGATCATATTTATGTACATGACATTTGTTTTCTACATTAAAAAGCAGTTGGTTTGTATCAAATTGTTCTGTTCCAAGTGGGATGCAAATGAGGCAGAAAAGAACCACGGGAGGGGTGACAGCCCTGTCCCAGATAGGGGGCCTGGCGCCTTTGTTGGCAATGAGTAGCTTCCTTTCTGCCTGCTCAGACCACCAGATTAGGCTAGGGGGACACAATAGCTTAAGTCAGAAAGTCTGACCAGGCTTTTGCTATTTGAGGACACACTGGTTGGTGGGATGGCAGGGAGGCTTGGTCTTTATAAGACAAGTTTTTATTATACAGCTCTAGCTGTTCTAGGACTAAGTAGGCCATGCTGGCCTCTAACTCACAGAAATCCACCTCTTTTGCCTCCCTAATCTTTTGCTGAGATTAGAGGTATGTGCCACTATACCCATCTATGTATGTATGTATGTATTGGAGAGTCACCAGAATGCAGAGTCTTTGTGTTCACAATCAAGGATAGAGGGAACCTGGCATTATGCCCAGGTCCTGATGCCTGTACTGTCTGCCTCATTGGGAAAGCCAAAGCTTGCTTAAAATTTTATGGAATTCCTCTGTCATCTAAGAACCAGGATGTTACCATAGGGCCAGATGTTCACTCTCCCCCAACAGCAAGGCAGGCTGGGAGAGCAAGTGTGATTCAGGTGCTATTGCCAAATGGATCAAGGAAGCAGGACAGGATGAGGACAATGTGGCCATGTGCCTTCAGCTGGTGGGTTCAAGAACTAGGGCTGTTAGTCAATTCTGGAGGAGGGGCAGGAGCGGGGCGGCTCTAAGGGACTTCCATTTGCTGTCCCCTAGGGACTCCGAGAAGTGTGGCTTCCCCAAGGGAAGCAGAGGGCTCAGATCTTCAGTCTCTCCAAGCATGGCAGTCATCACCCAGCTTTGATTTACCTCTTCTAGATCAGAAACTGACTCTAGAAAAGCTCCCAAGGACCAGAAAAGGAGAAGGCGGGAAAGGGCTGAGTGGCCAGGGGAACAGGAGCCAGAGATGGGTCAGACTGTGGCACCGTTTGTCCTGGTCCCCATTTCCTGTCAGACAGCTTCTGATATCCCGGGAATCTCAGAAAAGATGTGTCTTTTGGTATGCTAATAGCCTTCCTGAGCTGGAATCCCTCACCCTCCAAGCCTGGAGTCCCACCCACCCCAATTTCAGGGAAGCCTAGAGACTGATGTTGACCCGATCACCAACGCCAACACAGGTGATCTGTTCATGCCTATTTCACGAAGTCTCCACAGGAACATTTAGCACCTGAATCAGAGAAGCTTCTGGGAGCTTCTGAACTTGTAGCTCAGGCAGCATCTGGAAGGTCTGGGAAGCACAGAGCCTTCTCGCCAGCCACCCTGGTTCCCTGCGTCTGTCCGTCAACGTCCTTTACACTAAACAGCCTGAGCCTGGGTGGTGCACACCTCTAAATCCTAGTCCTTGGGAGGCAGATGCAAGCAGATCTCGGTGAGTTTACAGCCAGCCTGACCTGCACAGTAAGTTCCAGGAGAGCCAGAGATATGTGTTGAGACCCTGTCTCCAAAAAATCATAATAAATACACAGTCTGCTGGTTTGTTGATCAAATTATTGGAAATCCAGGAAGAGTGGTCATGGGTGGACTCCAAACTTGTCGGTGGGGCCAAACTAGGAGGAGTGATAGTTGGGGGTGGGGAGCCTACCAGCAGGATCTGCTGCTGCTTCCCTGGGCAGGGGACTGCTGTAGAGGGGGTCTCTATGGCAGTCACTTTGTAGAGGTGAGAGACCGTGAAAGGAATCTGCATTGTAAATACACATTAGGGAAACTGAGTCTTTCCTCCTCAGACTTGGGCTCCCCTCCCCCTGCAGTGAATGTTGTGTGGTAGTGGTCGGAGGCTCTGCCCAGGGTGTCAGTTAAAGATAGGATCTCTCTGTGTTATCCTGACTGTTCTGGAGCTAGCTCTATAGACCAGGCTGGCTTCAAACTCACAGAGATCCACTTGCCTCTGCCTCTGGAGTGTTGAGATTAAAGGCACGTGCCACCACGCCAGGTTTGTTTATTTTTATTTTATGTATATGGGTGTTTTGCCTAGGTGTAGGTCAGCACACCCATGCACACAGTGCCCATGGAAGCCAGAAAAGGGCATCAGATCCCCTAGCCTTATAGATAGTTGAGGGCTGTCCTGTGAGTCCTGAGATTGGACCTGGGTCCTCTGCAAGAGCAGCAAGTGCTCTTGACCACTGAGCCATCTCTTCAGTCCCTGGATTGAAACTTTTAAAGTTGATGCTAGCGGTGGGGCCCAGGGTCTTGGGCAATGGTCAGGGTTCTTCTCAGAGGGTCTCCAGACCTCAGGCTGGTGGTCCCCAACTCTCTAGCCTTCTGCTTCTGCCTTGCACTGGGGTGACAGGCAGAGGCCTCGCTATACAGCTTCAGGAGATGCGCCTTATAGAGATTGATTACATGGATCAGACTGGATACTACATAACATTAGCTTGTGAGAAGGTAGCGTTTTATGTTAAAAACAAAAACAAAATCTTGGGACTGCAGAAATAGCTCAGCAGTGTTAAGAGCACTGGCCGCTCTTGCAGAGGACCCAGGTTCCATTCCCAGCACCCCCACAGCAAGTCACAATGGCCTGGAACTCCAGTTCCAGGAGATCCAAGGCCTCTGGCCCCCTTGAACACCTACACAGATGTGTGTCCACCCATGTGCAGATACATACATTAACAAAGGTGGTGTTGGGGAATCAGACCCAGTGTTATGATTTAAGAAAGCGAGAGAGAAAGACGCCATGTGACAGAGCCCACAAGCAGGGGTTTTCATTAGGGGAAGGGGAATGAGGAAAGTGGGGGAAGGAGGAGGGAGATCAGCTTCTGGGGACGGGGTGGGAGGGGGATGGATGACAGGATTTGGGCAAAGCCCACCTTTGCAAAAGGGAACTTAAGTGCACGGGAGGTGCTCTTAGTGGCTAGGGTAGCCTGTTAGGGCCCTAAGGGCAGGCCAGTACTGATGCCTGAATACTGCCACCCAGGACCTCATGAACAAGTGGCAAGAGCTTTGCCACGGAGCTACCGTCCCCACCTAAAAGAGCACAGTGATATCTGTCAGCAGCACACAGGGAAGTATTGCAGACTGTGGAGCAAAAGCAGAGAGTTAATCTCATCTCAGTCAGAGTCAAGGGCTGAGGGGCAGAGGACATGGTCTCCACATATATGAATCTGTCTATGAATAACTGAAAAAGAATCCCAGACACAGAGGTGTGGATTGTTTTTGTTTGGGGACAAGGTCTTACTGTGTAGTCGTGGCTGTCCTGGAACTCACTTGTATAGACCAGGCTGGCCTCAAACTCACAGAGATCCTTTTGCCTCTGCCTCCATGCACCACCAAGCCGGCAACGTGCGTGTTTTTGATGCTGTTTGGGCTGGAGATAGCACCCAGGGCCTCACAAGCCTGTGCATGCTCATTACTGAACTGTGAGTTCCAGCCCCTGCCCCAGACAGGCTCTCTGCATGTCTCCCTCCTGGAGGAGGTTGGTTACAAAGGCTGGCTGCCCTGCATCTTCTGCCCACCTCTGGGTCCCTGTATGACCATGTGGAGCAGAACCCTGTGACCTGCAGTGGATACAGGAACTGCTAGTGGCTGGGGAGCAAACCTCGGGCAGCTCTGTGGAGTCACAGAGATTTGAGGCTAGCCTCTCAGGGTGGCTGCGCCATCTCGTGGGCACAGTCTCAGGGTGTGGCACAAAGTAGGAGGGGTAGATAAGAGCGGGACTACAGGAAAGGAGGGGCACAAACATACATAACATACATCACATACATCGGCTCAACGTAGACCACTGGCAAAAGAAGACACAAGAGGATGCAAGGGGGAGGAGCTTGGTCCTGCCTCAGCTTGATGTGCCAGGCTTTGTTGATTCCCGTGGGAGGCCTTATCCTTCTGAATGGAAAAGGAGGAGTGAATGGGAGGTGGGAGGTAGAAGGGAGGTGAGGGAGGGAAGGAACAGGAGGTAAGGAGGGAGGGGAAATTGTGGTTTGAATGTTAAATAAATAAATACATAAATAAATAAGGGCTGGAGAGATGGCTCAGTGGTTAAGAGCATTGCCTGCTCTTCCAAAGGTCCTGAATTCAATTCCCAGCAACCACATGGTGGCTCACCACCATCTGTAATGAGATCTGGTGTCCTTTACTGGCCTGCAGGCATACATGCAGGCAGAACACTGTATACATAATAAATCTAAATAAATAAATAAAAGAAGGCATAAGGAATAGAACTGGCAGGGATGGTTGGTGGGGGCTCAGTGGTGGATTATGGACTGAGTAGGCAAGAGGCTCCGGGCTCCATCTGGGGCATGTTGTAAAAAGACAGGAACAGGTAAGAATTTGCCTTCGGGGACAAGGGAGGTGCTAGAAGTCTTCCTCTATAACCTTCTTCTGTGTTTCTTTTTTCAAAAACCCTTTAAAAGGATATGGAGGGGGTTGCAGAAAAGGAGAAAACTGGATATCATGTTAAATGGAAGAAGACAGACTCTGGCCAGCAAGAGGCTCAGCCAGTAACTGGCTCGCCCTCAAGCCAGACACCTGAGTTCTATCCCTAGATCCTGCAGAAGAAGAGAGCTGGTTCCTGCAAACTGTCCTCTGGCTTCCCTATGTGCACACACACAAAACAAATCTATAAAATGCTTAAAAACAAAACCAGACTCAGACAAGTAAATATAGCTTGTTCTCTCTCGTACACAGAATCCAGATTTAAATGTACATATGTGGAGGCTGGAGAAACTGCTCAGCAGTTAAGAGCGCTGGTCGCTCTGGAAGAGGATCCAAGTTCAGTTCCCAGCACCCACACAGTGGCTCACAAACTGAAACTCCAAGTCTAGGGGATCTTACAACCTCTTTTGGCCTCCTCAGGCACTGCACACAGGAAGTG